TGGGGCTCTCCTCTTTTAATTGGGGCTCTCCTCTTTTAATTGGGGCTCTCCTCTCTTAATTGGGGGTCTCCTGTTTTAATTGGGGCTTTCCTGTTTTAATTGGTGGACAATGGAGGGATGGGGGCAACCTGTTTGGGGGCCCATAGAATTGGACCCCCTGGTCCAATCTTCTTGAAACCTGGTGGGCATGTTGGGGAGAGGTTCCAGTAACCACCCCCCAAGTTTGGAGCCTCTCCCTCTTTCCCCCTCCTAGGGGTCTGCAAAAAGGAAAATAAAAGGTAAAAATCCCATTGAAATGCATTGCCGCCGAATTTCGGCGGCAAACCGGGAATACAGCAAGCTGATCTGGGGGGACTGGGGGCACCCACTTTGGATGCCCCTGGAATCGGACCCCCTGGGCCAATCTTCTTGAAACTTTGGGGGTCTTTCGGGAAGAGGCATGAGCAGCCACTGTCCAAATTTGGAGCCTCTACCCCCTCCCCCCCTGCAAAGTTTCAAGAGGTTTTTTGCCATTGACTTCAATGGCCCCATTGGTTATAATGGACCCGAATTTTTCGGGTTTTCCGAAAATTTTCGGATATCTATGCTTTACCGAATTAGATATTCGGGTTTTTTCGGGTTTCCCGAAAAAAATTGGGTTCAATAAACCCGAATCCGAATTTTTTTTTTTGCACATCCCTAGTCCAGACAGGTGTCTTCACAGTTTGAGAGAGACATTCAAGCATGGAAGTAAAATTAAGTCTCCTTTCCTGGAGATGCTTCTACCTACCTTGAACAATTCAAAAAGCATATGGAACAGATGTGATGGTACATAGACTACTTGAATAGGCTTGCCTGGTGCTTTAGCTAAAGAACACAGATGAAACATTTTGTTAACTTAAAGTTCAGGTTAAAATTGACTTTATGGTGTAAGTCTACTCAACTCTTATATTTGAACCCTGAAACAAATAAAAGTTAAGTTCGCAGCATTTTTGTCTTCCTTTCCTTTCAAGTGCCTAACAACGTGAAACCTTAGTCAATGGAATATGGATCACAGAGCTAAGTCAAGTAAAGACAAGCTGCAATCAAGACAGACCACCTATTCTTTCATGATAGACTTGCGGTCAGACTTTTGCAGCACAATCCGAGACACGGTTACTTAAACATAAGTCCTCCTGAATGCAGTGGTGCTTCTATCCTAGTACAGAATCACAACCTTAGCCTTCTACACCAACTTTATTTATTTATCAAATTCATATCCCGCTCCCCTGAAAGGGACCTGGGGCAGCTAACAGCATATAAAATACAACCATAAAAACAATACAAAGATATGACAAATAATAATCTTTAAAATATAAAACGGTTTCAAATCTATTGCTATTAAAATCTATCCACTATCCAGCAGGGTAGGATGCATGGATGGTGAAGATACAGCTGAAGTATACCAGCTGCCTAGTGGATCACAATCACCCAAAGGCTGCCTGAAAAAGAGTGGCCTTGCATGCCCGGCAAAACCTAGGGAGGTCCCGCAAGACATGTACCTCTTCAGGCAGCTGGTTCCACAGTACAGGGGCCACTACTGAGAAAGCCACTGCCCTTGTTGACACAAGGCAGGCAGTTTGTAGACCGGGGACATTCAATAAATTCCAAGATGAATATTGGAGAAGATGGGGAGGATCATGCCGGGAGAGGCGGTCCCAAAGGTATGAGGGTCCCAGGCCATTTAGGGCTTTAAAGGTAGGTACCAACACTTTGAATTAGCACCGGAAACTAATTGGGAGCCAGTGCAGCTGCTGTAAGATAGGTGTTATATGTGCTGACCAGGACACTCCTGTCTGCAATCTGGCAGCTGTGTTCTGGACCACCTGCAGCTTCCAAACTATCTTCAAACGTAGCCCTGCTTAGACTGCATTACAGTAGTCCAGTCTCAAGGGGAGACTGTTGAGTGAATTACCATGGCAAGATCTTCCCGAGATAGGTAGGAAGCCAGTTGGTGGGCCTGGAGTAAATGGCAAAACGCAGTCTTTGTCACCAAGGACACATTTGTCCATGGCAGCAAAAAACTGAGCCATACTCCCAAATTCCTGAGTCAAGTATAGAAAGACAAACCTCATCAAAGGTAGGTAGAGGTGGCCATCCCAGTGGTCTAGGCTTTCCCAGCCACATAATCTGTTTTATATGGATTTAGCTTCAACCAACTCTCACCTAGCCATTCCACCAGTGCACCCAGGCAGAAGGTCAAGACCAGAATTCCAGCTACTAGTTGTTACTTAAATAAGAGATAGAGTTGAGCATCATCAGTATATTGATGGTGTCCCACTCCAAACCTCCTGACAATCTCTGCCAGAGGGCACATACAGATGTTAAATAACATTGGAGAGAATTGACCCCTCTGGAACTCAAAAAGTCAGGGCCTGCAGTGACAACCTCTCTCCACCCATGATTACCCTCTGGGACTGACCCTGGAGGAATGAGGAGAGCCAGGTCAAGGCCATACCCCTCACACCTAGGAAGGCTAGGCAGTTGACCAGTACCAACTGGTCTACTTAGTCAGAGACAGCAGACAGATCCAACGGGATCAGTAGCGCCATCCCACCTGCATCAAGGTGTAACCAGAGATCATCAACCAGAGCTGTCTCAGTCTCAAACCCCGGGCAGAAGCTGGATTGGAAGGGATCTAGGGCAGATGTCTCATCCAGCAATTCCTGGAGCTGTTCAGCTACTGCTTGCTCAATCACCTTTCCCAGAAATGGAAGATACGGGGCCGTAATTGGCTAGGTTCCTCTTATCTAACAATGACTCTTTCAGGAGGAAGAGAAGGGAGCTAGGAAAAGAGCCATGGGAAAGTGAGAGATTTTCATGTCTCCCAAGTGAGATATTTTCATGTCTCCTACCATTTCCCTAGAAGAAGAAGAAAAAGAAGAAGAGATTGGATTTATACCCTACCCTTCACTACCCAAATGTGTCTCAGAGTGGCTTACAAACTCCTTTCCCTTCTCCTCCCCACAACAGACACCCTGTGAGGTAGGTGGGGCTGAGAGAGCTCTTGACAGAAACTGCTCTTTTTTCAAGAACAGCTCTGTATAGAAATATTGCTTCTATATTCACATGCCTTCTCCTGTGATGTCTTTTGATAACATGCTGTGTCTTATTTCCTGTTGCAAACCAAATGGTGAGGCCACATGGCCTCAATAGCCATGCCATAAACCCACATTCTTTCACACTTTCATCCCGAACGCCAGACCTCATGGCTACACTTTCTGATCCACATGGGACTAGTCAGTAGACCATGAAGTAGCTGGAAACTGGGTCATATGACTGCAGGCGGGGTCCCAAACCTCTAGCCTATCCCCACACGCAGCTATGACAACCAAGCTTCAGTACTTAGCTCAGCTTACTGTAAAATAGCACACTTGGCTGACTATAGTGCATGCTGGGAAACTTACTGACTCAAATAGGTGTTTCAGTAACATCAGACTTAACTGGAGACAATAAATACCTAATTATAATTCCAGAGGTTTCTGCTGTTGAAGCAGCTTAATGAAACTATGTCCAAAAGAATAGCAAGTCAGAAAGAAGAAATGGTTATTCTGCAAATCTCTGTAGCTTTGGAATGGCTTTCAACTCAAAGCAAATTACCTACATAAAAATTTAAAAACTGACAGTACTGAACAAAACTTGAGATACTTAATAGCAGCATTAAAAAGCAACAAACTTCACTGTTACCATTGAATTCTTCAATTTCCAGTTCTGGTGCTACCTGGTAATACTGCTCACACAACATTTTAGCAGTTGCAAAAGCATCTGGAAAAGTGGAGGGAAACACACACAGAATTATACAATTATGTAACACTATATTCTGTATGTCAAGACCTGGGAGGCTATACACTGCTATGACTGTATCTAATAACAAATGGAGTGGCTCAAGCAAATAATAAAAGCAGCAAAACTAGGCCACCCACAGATAAGACAGAGGTTTCTACATATTCTAAAGCTCTCCAGGAATAAAAGTATACAACTTTGTAAAAATGATGGGGGGAAAGCCTTTATTGGTTTAAAGGGAGATGTGAGTTGGAGAGGGTCACAGAAATGTTTACCCCCCCCCCTCCATTCCTTCTGGGCACCCAACCTGTATTTCTGTATTTTAGACAGTGTCTGTGACATTTTATATAACTGCATTAAATGTCATCTGTACAGAACAGTAATGGTGTTTGCTTTCTGAAAGAAACCCTCTTAACTGAAAGTTAATGGTACTAATTTTCATTCTTTTCTTCTAAGGGTTTGAACACATCTGTACAATTACCAGAACTATATCAATCACAGGGCGTTTGTGTTTTTTTCGTCCATTATAGAAGATATCATTCAAAAGATAATGCTTAACTTTCAGATGTGCAGCTAAATCTAAAAATACAAATTTCATAAATGAAGAAGTTATTCTCTTTCAATTACCTAAAAATGACTAAAAAACCACATTCTGCTCAGAGTAGAATTTTACTTTTAATCTGCATATTTTAAAACTTTTGCTTTAAATGTATTGGGTCAGATCTAGAGCCTATAATGAAATTAGCAGAAGACATGAGTGGTGGGAGATCATTCCTGCCTTTCTCCTGCAACCATTTGTGCAATGTTGGGGTCCCTCATGGCCACGTTATATAGATAGCTGTATATATATAGATTTATAGATATATAGATATATATATATCTATATATCTATATATATATATAGATATTTACATTGTATACTGAATAGCCATTGGGATCTTTTTCACAATTTGAGAGTGCAGAACAGGGGAACATCTACAGAAATAATATGACAGTAAGCATTTTAAAGGCTAAGCATGTTTGAACAAGCAAATGTACAACTAAGCTTGTTTCCAGCACTCAATCAATGCTAATGCTTCACTTAAAAATGCAAGTGGTTAAGTTTCTTGCCTCCTATCAATATATCATTTGTAGCAGAATAAAAAAAAATCAAAATAATTTCAGGAATGCTTTGAAGATTACATTGCTTGATGGCTTAACTGTGTTATATCTCCATCTAGTGACAAAAAAATTAAACACAATAAAGAATCTACCCGTCTTCACAATCACTGGGCTAAGCAATTTTTAAAATATATTAGAAAAGCTATTGTTTTCACCCATATATCTTGTAAAATTATTCATATAAATTAGATAAGTAAAGTGTAACTTACAATGATTTTATTAAATTGGAGCCAGTAAATAACCAGTAAATGCATATATGTATGGAGTGGTATTGAAAGAACTGAAAGAACTCTACAAAATCAACAACGGGCAGAAATGAAAGTAGAATGATCTCAAGACTGATATGATCTCAAGGTATGATCCCAAGACTGGTAGATTTTGCATAACCTAACAAGTATGGTGCCGACTTAATAAATTCCTTTCTCCCTTCTATGTGTCAGATTTAACCATAACTCATCAGTATTCTGTACAGCCACTAACCATGGCTAACACTAATCTGAGTTCCCATCCTAACAAGACTTTGCAGAGGGGGTGCTACTCTTGATTCACATAAAAAAACAGATTAGCATTAAATAACAGCTTGCACTGGGGGTGGAGGAAAGTGCTATCAAGTCACAGCTGATTTATGGTGACCTCATGGGGTTTTCAAGGCAAGAGACGTTCAGAGGTGGCTTGCCATTGCTGGCTTCCAAGTCACAACCCTGGTATTGCCATCCAAATACTAGCCAGGGCCAACCCTGCTTAGCTTGTGAGATCTGATGAGACTGGGGTAGCCTGGGCATGGCTTCTACTCACATAGATGTAATGCTAAACCAAGGTTAGCGCCAACATGGTAAGGAGAGGGGAACTAATATTTACTGGCTTTACTCCTAATGACAGTCCAGAGATTACACATATGTGTGTGTTGAATTTGAAGTACATAAGCCTTCTTATATTTCTCCTTACCTTCTACAACATCAGCCACATTACAAGTAGGATCAATACTCCCAATATGTTTGGGATGAGCAGGATTAGTAACCCCACCAAAAAGCAGTGCTATGGAAATAAAGGCAGAAATGAATGTAAGTAGCATTACTTTTTAAACAGCAGAAGACAAAGAAACTAATAACACATACAGGTAAAACCTGGCTTCTTTCAAAGTCAGAAGGCAGAAAAACTATGGCAGCAATGGATTTTTAAGACAAAAACATCTTGGAAAACTCTTCCATATTTTTGCAGCTCTACTGGCTTGCAACCACCTCCTCAATTTGCAGAGCCATTTAAACAACTATAAAAGAGATTCCCCCCCTCTTTATGATGGGTTAGATTCAAAGACTCACTTTCACTAAATAAGGGACCTTTGGAAGGGAGCCCATGCGACCAGCTTAATTTAGTGAAAGTCAATCAGGTACCACGCAGTGAATGTGATGATGCCAAGACATCATAGAACCAATGAGATTTGGCTACACTGTGATATCCATGAGAGAAAACAGTGCCATACTGCCCTCACTTAAAAGCCCTAATTCAACTCCAGTCACACCAAAATGACCCTCAGAATGTATCATTAAAAGGCAGCCCACTGAAAGCAATCTAGTGTGGATAGTGACAAGATGGAAATCCAGACTGGTGTTTTATGGCTCTGCCACACTGTGCTGCAGTGGCTTCAATGGTACAGGACAGCAAAAAATAGGGGGTGCTGGACCATATGCCAAGACAATGAAAGACACGTCCTCTCTCCTTCTATCAATGCTTTTCATAACCTCTGGGGGGGAAATGGGGGTACAAAAACATTCACAAAGTTCAGTCTTCCAGTTTAGCGAAGTTCTAGAATATACTGCATCACAAAATGCATTCCCAAAGGGAAAATAATACTAATTAATCTGGGAAAACTACTTAATGCAACTGGTGGACTAAGCCATGGATATCAAACTACACCCATCCCAAGAGAACCATTTAAAGTAACTGAATAAACATCGTCTTAAGTTATAATGTGGTTTGCAACATATTAAAGAACACAACAAAATATAAGAAAGTACAAAAAGAGTATCTAGTCAGAAGCATCTTGCATGTTGTAAATATTTGTAGGACTACTTCTAACACCCTTATCCATTCTAATAATTATGTTGCCTTGTGGAAAAATTAGAACTGGCCTTAGGCAATTCAGCACTTAAAAGATAGTAAAATAATTAATATAGCTTTAAGATGCACAACAGAGCTGATATGTGGGTCAGGCCCATCCTCACTGACTCAATGCATCACTGATCACTATCAACCCCAAATGTCCTCTCCTTATCTGTTGCCATTTGGCAGCCCTGTGTAAGCTCAGCAAAATATTCTAGCTAGCCTTCATCAGATCATGCCAATTCAAGTCGATCTGCAAATTCTGCCTGGGCTTTTGGCCTTCCTCCATTCCCTTTGGAAATATGGTAGGTGATAAGATGGGCACCACACCCTTGGCTGTACTGCCCCCCCGTAATGTGCTATTCTTCAGTTCTTCCTTGTCAATCTGGATATGCTAACCCACCCCTACAGTTTCCTTCATTCTCTCAGATGCACATCCAATCTCATCAAGAGAAGGAAAGTCCAATTTGCAGATTTCATATTCGTAATGTACATTTTATAACGTATGGAAAGAGCCAGCAATGATTCAGCAACAAGGAAAAGATTAATTGGTTGGAGAATTAATCAAAAGGTGAATGATTTGCATAGAATAAATTCAGGAGTTGAGGTCAAAAGTGTGATATAACCTTCTAATCAGCAAAAGCCACTTCTATGGCAGTAAATTGTGTGTGTGTGTGTATTTGTTAACTAGGTTGAAAAGCTAATACAGTCACAGTGACAAAACAATGCAGAGCAAGTTTCTTTTAACTGATGGGCCATGAGTCAGATGCAGCTCACAAGGCTTGATTTTTACCACCTGCTGAGTACTGATTTGACACTCAGCTCCAGGAGACTCCTGTGTGTGGCATTGCTCTCTCCCGAATGTCATGTTGCAACAACAATTACATGCCATACTAAGCAGAGACATCCATTTACCGTAAGTATCTTTTGGGGACTCTACCAGGCAGTAGCTACAGAAAGGCCAATGTAGATTTGTTTCATTAACTATCAATACTTTCTCCTGCTTCAGAAAGCAACTGTTTTCTGGACTCCTATCACTACCACCAGGCCCCCCACCTGCCACCCCAGCAGCTGGGGGGAAAAATCTTCAGGGAAAGCCTAATATGTCTTCCATATCTGTTGGTCCAGCAGCACTTCCTTCACTTTGCAACATAAAATCTCAGATCCTTCTTTCCTACTAACTTTTCTGCCACTTTTCATTTCAGCCCTATCTTTTCAGAATCTGCCAATTACATTGTAAGTCTGCCATTCCTCCAAGGAGCTCAGAGTGGCATACGTGGTTTTCTTCTCCTCATTTAATCCTCATACAATCCTGCAAGATGAGTTAGGCTAAGAGAGTGCAGCCAACATCACCCACTGAGTCTCATGGCAGAGTGGGGATTTTCAGTCCCACAGCCCTAATCTCTAACTGCTACACCACAGCAGCTATCTCATAAGCAAAATAAGCCATCCCTGCAAGACAATAGGCTACAGACAAGGTGAATGCTGCTAAATGAGTAATGTTGGTCCAAACACCCTCAGTCTGATCAACACCCTCAGTCTGATTAGTCTGCCAATCTTTTGCATCATACTGGAAAAGGCAAGAGTTTGCAAACCAAGGAGATACACAGGGAAAACCCCTGCACAATTTTACACATATCTCTAACACATACCATATCAGAATTTGTTCTGCTGTAGCAAAAGCCAGGCCAGTGCTGCTTCTTTTCATTTGTAAGCAACAACTCCAATGAGCACTCAATGGTAAACTAAAAAGTAATTACTTACTGTGCTGGTTAATAAGCATGCGGAATGAGATGCGGTTGGTGTAGAACCTATCTAGAAAATATTGGATATTACTGCTCACAAAAGGGTCAAAACCATATTTTTCCTTGTATTCAATCACTCCTTGGGCCATAGTAGGAACAACATCGTTGTGTCTATTCCTGACTTTAATTAAGACATCTAAGAAACTGAAGAAAAAAAGTTAGAAAGAAAATGTTAGAGTTAACTGAAGTATCTTCATGTTAGATTGCAATGTTACTAATTTTTAATAAATGTCCTGCCTTTCTAAAGAAAAGAATTCTACATCCAGAATTGAAAATATTCATTCACAATACAAATCTGTCTCAAAACCTCAACTCAGTACCATTAAAGGAAAACTACAGTCAAAGACTTCGTTGGTTATTGTTTCGATTTTGGCCCCTCTCATTTCTACAACTGAGAGTCAGGTGCACCTTGGTTCCCTTTCCATTTTTTCTCTCATCTACCATCCCTTTGAAGGTCTCATTTTCTTGCCTTAATATTCCTCTGAACAACTCCAAGTCCTTCCTAAAGCCCCCCAGCTTTTCTGGGTGTGTCACCTAGTTTTATTGTGATCTGAATAGATTTTAATTACGTTTTTAAAATATACAAGGGGAAGGAGAGGGGAAGGGGAAAACATATCTAATGGTTTTCTGCATGTAACTTTCCTCTACAGATAAGCTGTGAGGTTTAACAGTTCATAAAAGCTTCTTAATATTAAAGTATTAGGAAGTTCATGTCTTTACATTTCTCTCTTATCCAATTATAGAATGGAGTCAATAGTCCAACAAAGACCCTTTTAACATTGAAGTCAGCCTCTCCATTTCTGCACTTTCCATAATCTTCGCTATTAGGTCATGTTCAGTAGGTGCTGAGGGAAGCTTCCAATAAGTTGCAAATAAGATTCTAGCTGCAGTTACTACATGAATTATAAAATACCTTTGATTTCTGTCAGAGTTCTCTGGTATACAATAAGAACAATTCTGGTCGAAAAGGTACTGAGATGTGCAAAACTGTCTGTATAAAAGTATGTACCATAACCCAAAACGTACGCACTGTATCACATGTCCACCACATAGGATAAAATGTACCCACTTTACACTTCCAACAATTATTTGACATATTTTTATACATTTCAGCTAATCTGTCTGGTGTTAAATATCATCTGTAAAACATCTTATATAAATTATCTTTAAATGCCACAGATTTAGGTATTTTCACATTCACTTTCGATAGTTCACTGTGTAAGATCAATATTATAACCTAAATTTTGCATCCATTTCACCATACAGTCTTTAACCACCATCTCCCATTTTCATTAAAATATGTACATTTTCTTAATCAACTTATCATTAGATGTATACAACAATTTCTCAAATATACTTTGTTCAGAATAAAAACCAACTTTTTAATCTTTAGCATATCTAAAGTCGATTTGAGCCCTTGTCTACCAGTCCATACTAATCCCTTGCTTTATTAATTCTTCCTTTGTTTTTAAAAGTCCTTTATCATCTAAAAGGTCTTCATATCTGAAAATTCTACCTGAGGGGATTAAATTTGGTTGTGAGAAAGCTTCCAGGGGTGAGACTTATCTTAGAATTTTAGAGTAAACGAAAGGTAAGATTTCCCCCCAAGTTATTAATAAGAATTTTCTTATCAGATGATTTTTAAAGTATTTATCTCCAACCGCTTTCCCATACCAAGCAAAAGCATGCCATCCTAATTTTAAATCATGTCCCTCTAGAGCTAAAAGTCTTTGATTATCCAACAGAATCCAGTCTCTCATCCATACCAGGCAGGCCACTCTATAATATATCCTCCAATCTGGTAGGGCAAAACCTGCATTTTCTTTAAAGTCTTGTAGCGCTTTCTACTTAATTTTTGGCTTTTTTCTTTTCCAAATAAATTTAGTTGTTTATTCATATCTTCAAAGAAAGAGCAATTAATTCAAACAGGAATAGTCTGGTATATGACAATAATACGTGACAATACATTCATTTTCACAGCTGCAAACCTTCCCATTAGGGATAGATGAAGATCTTTCCATCTTGCTAGATCTTTCTTAATTTCTTGGAACAATTTCAGATAATTGTCCTTCACCAAAGAACTACACTTTGGGGTTAAGTTTATTCCCAAATATTTGATTCTTTTCTTTGACTGAAATCCTGTTAAATGAATTAACTCCGGTTTTTGGTTAGAAGTCATATTCTTTGTTATAACCTTTGCCTTTTGGTAATTACTTTTCATCCCAGCCATTTCTCCATACTCATTAATTTTATTCAATAATATTCTATAGAGTCTATTGGGTCTTCCAGAATGAATACTAGATCGTTAGCAAATGCTTGTAGCTTATACTTATGACCCTTAACTGAGGCTCCTTTAATTGCAAGGACTCCCCTGACTGCTCGTTACCTTCTTAGGCCCTCTATACCTTCTTTCCCTTCTGCTTGCCCTGTCCATTTCTAGGATCTGAGCAGTTCAGCCAATAGCAACCAGAGACCATCTGTCTGCCACAGCTCTCCTATGAATTCTGATCAGCTCAGCCAGTCACTACCACCATCACATTCTTTAGTGCAATAGAATATACATATGCCAGAAAATTTACTATATTCACAAAATGTCAATCTAAACAGTGAAGCTACTTGAAGAATTAATTAGCATTATATGTATATTTTGAATTACAGCAAAATTTTTGCACCGAGGCAAATCAGAGCAGTAAACAACATTTCATCAAGGTTCAGTCCTGGGTCTCCAGTACTTCTCACCTGGCGGAGTAGACAGCTATTTCAAAACCAGCAATTTGACCAAATATCAACAGTGTAAAAGGGGTTTTTCCAGAAAATGTGAAAAAATAAGATCAGAATTTTTTTAGCCTCCTTCCAGAAACAGAATTATTCAAAATCAGAAAACCTGAACAATTTTTTTCTATAAAAGGGACATATTGCTATATCTATTTTTCTAAGCAAAAAGTGGTCCTACCTATTTTCATTCTAAAGGTCCACTTTAGCAGCAAGTATCCTAATTTCAAATAACAAGTTTTATGAACTCTATTAAGAACAATAAATATTGGATGCAAGAGAAAAATAATGCTTAAATTTATTTTCTTTCTTTTTCACTGCCATTAATAATGGAAATTCTCCATACATTTCTATGTGTTTTATTTCGATATCTGGTGTCAGGAAGTTATCCTAGCTCATAGAACTGATGAGAAGTAAATATAACATTTTCTATCAAGTAATAAAATCAGACTCATTTTCCTTGCAGGTACTTTTCTAACATACATTTCTGATTGTGAAAGAGTGCTCCTCTTTTAAAGGCACCTTACTTGCCATTTTCCTTCTAATCAGCAATGCTTAAGCACTTTTGCAAATTCTTCATGCAGTTTTCAAATGATCCGTTACTCTAAAAATAATAACTGAGAAATACGAACAGTAACAACCTAATCCCAAACCTCAAAACCTTCAAATTGCACAAGGAGGGTTTTTAACCTACTCACCTGCCTTGCTGATTGGACAAGCACCCCTTCTGGAAAATTATTTTAATGCCTAAAGCTTCAGCTAGATTAGATCCTGCTGGTTCTATGAGGATCTGAGAGTTAAGGCCAAGAGAAGTCCATTGCTCTACTTCATAGTTTCCAATAAGGAAATTATCTTTTTGAATGTGAGATCTAAATATTAAGGGACAGTCTACATCTCTCTCTCTCTCTCTCTCTCTCTGAGAGAAATGGAAATAAAGTTTCTTGGTTTATCTTTTATTTTATGGCCTTCCGTAAAAAGACAAATATGAAAGTTTCTCTTTTACTTAGTGGACAGTTTGTTACAAGGAAATCTGTGCTTATTTTCAGCTCCACCTCCTTTAGTTTCAAGTGCAGACTTAATCCTGCTAATGGCATCATCCGTATTCTTCTGGGTTTCACATCACACAAAAATAGCATTTTCCTTGCCAGTCACTAGACTGTGAACTTTACTTGTATGAATCAGGGAAAAGGCTACTTTATTTTATGCTCATTAAAATGTGACGTTTGTTCATGGTAAAGAAAATTCATAGTGTCATCCTAAACCTGTCACAGCCAATGCACGTAGAAGGACATAACACTGTATGTGGGGGGGGGAGGTGATTTTCCCCTCCCACTGCAGACCTTTGTCTCCCACTCATGCTGTTCTGGGGAGTCTCCTGTCTTCAAGGAGCAGTATCTCAAAGGTCATTTTCTGCTGTACAGAGAGGCAAGGAAGTCACATTCCAATTATCAAAATCCCTTCCATCAGCAGAAATTACTAGTATATCAAAGCCAGTATCATGGAAGGGATTTTGGTCATTGGAGTGTGATAAACAGATAAATTGAAGTTCACAGAACAACAGCTGATGAAGGCCAAAGACCAAATGTATTAATCAGTTTTTGCTGCTGAATGTGGGACTGTTTGACTTGTAAATTATTTCTTCAAACACTACTTATATTTGGATTTTTTCTACTGATTTATCAGGTTTTATTTTGCTTTAATTGTATGTTTGTATATGAAAATTACATTGAAGATGGTTATCAGACTGAATTTGTGTATAATGATCAATCTTTTTTTATGTTTGGATTGTATTTCTATTTTGTAAAGTGTTTAATATATATATTATAACCAAGTGGTATGTGAGGCTGGAATACAATCAGTGGCATACCAACTTCATCAAGTTGCCCTTTAGTCCCTTTTCATTAGCTAGCCTATACCATGTATTATAGTATGAAACGGTCTAAACTGCATACCTAGAAACCTGGAAACACCACTGTCCCTCATCTTAAAATCAATTTTACATCTTAAACAAGACAGAACTTGTAACAATCAGAAAAACTCAGAATATGTCATGCAAATGTTAATCAGCATTAACATGAGGAATTTTTTTGGTGCTTTTTTTAAAAAAACATTGTTACTGGGACAGGTGTCATCATCCCTCTCCCAGCTCTGGAGGCTTCTTATCCTTTAAGTCGGTGGTCGGCAAACTGCGGCTCCCGAGCCACATGTGGCTCTTTGGCCCTTTAAGTGTGACTCTTTCTCCATAGGCACTGACGGCCTCCCTCCCCCGCACTCCTGCTGGGCTGACTTTCCAAATCCTTTGATCGGGCTCCTCGCGCTGTTGGAAGCGGCAACGAAGCTTCGCATGTCCGTCTTCGCCTTCCCCTCCCTCT